GAAAGCTAAAACATAATTTTGCTACAGGTACAGCAAACATGAATGAGGACGGAGTAATTCAAGGTCAGCCCATCCAGTAACCCAGTAGGTTTGTTTTATTTGTAGCTTATAACTTCATGGGATATAATTCATTTGCCTTTGGATAGATTGATTCATCTATTCACTTTAATTATCATGAAAATGCTTGTTGAGTCCCACTCAGGGGCAAAGCATAATGCTAGATTCAGTAAGAGTTTTAAAGAAGAATGACACTTTGTCCCTCCTGTCAATAACCCTATGTCTAATAGAGTAGGAAGGGCATGAGATGATAATTATCATACACACTGTGTTAAATGTCCATACAGTTGGTATAGGTGTGTGTTCAGGGGAGTCTTGTTTTATATCCACATCCTCAAAAGGGCATAACCAACATACCCATACCTATAAACAGAGGAATTTAGGCTGATTTTGTTAAAAGCATTAGGTTAAGGGCAACCAGTGTTTTGAAGCAAATGCAGCTCTCAAAACGAATTAATAGTTTTCCTCTTAGAATTGTTCCTGCTCCAGCTCCTAAAAAAAGATTTAAAAAAAGGATTCTTTGATTGACTTGTCCCATTGTAAAGTATGCACCTGCTGTGAAATGAAGCCACAGAAAAAAAAAAAAGTTGAATAATTTAACTTTTTTATTTGTAAAGATAATCAGGGTTTTTCTGATTACATCTTAACTTCATAAATGTTAAATAACCTATCAGCATCTAGTTGTTGTAAATTATGAAAAGGAGCATTGAGAGGAATATTAACCAACGAAACCCTTGTTCTTTAGTGAACAAGAAAATGTGTTATGGCACCTTGTCATTGTGCGACTGGTAACTTTGACACCAAATAACAAAACTGCCATTTGCACTTAGGGTAAATTGGTTCACTTGAGCTTCCACTGTTCCTTTTGCTCTGACATAAATTTATGAACTCGGGAACTAACCAAGCTGTGTGGCCTCCCAGCTGACTTTAACAAATATGCCCATTTCATTTCATTTAGTCGTCAGAATACCAGGAGGCTAGGGCATCTCAGACTCACCACAGATGGCATAGGGCTTGCGGGAACACACAGCGCTTTGATGCCACAGTGCTGTGAATTATGACAGTGGACGGGGTCCTCTTTCCTAAATGCATGTCAGCATTTGACATGTTCATGACTTCAAGGAGTATTTTCTGTTTCAGCACCTTGTAGGTATATGTAAAGGGCATTTATTTCCAATGAACCAAAATGTGAAAAATACATTTTCCAGGTTCATGCTTTGACTGACCATGTTTAAATTTAGATCAAGATTATGTCTATATTTGAAATGTGGTGGAAGCCCTGCCTCCCTAGGAATCCTGTCCTGTTAAGCAGAGAAATTTCTAGGAGCAGACCAGTAGGTGCAGCCTGAAGATACACAGTAGAGTGCTGCCTCAGGCATACTGAAGGGGAGACTGCTGAGAAAGAAAAAAAATAGAAAATCTTCATAGGAACACAATTTGATCATATTCAAGTATACATAAAAATATAAAACCAGATATTAAAATATTGTTATAATTGTATTTACATGATTAAATGTAACATTATTTGTAATTAGGATGGCAATGTTATATAAAAGATGGGTTCAGAAGTATTTGAGGACACACAAAACCAGTGGCATAGTTGTGGGGCTTTTTCCCATTTTGTTCCATTTCATTTTGTTTTGTAGAGATGTCTCTTATTTATTCAGCACTTTCTTTGTTGCCAGAATATACTACGATGAGCTACATGCATTTCCTAATTTAATCTTTGCAGCTCTTTGTGAAGTGGCCATTAGTATCATCATTTTACAGATGAAGAGACTGGTGTTCATAGAAGTTGGGGAATTTACCAGGGACAAATAAGGGCAGAGGAAGGATTTGATCTGTCTGACTCCATTCTGTGGTTTGTCTAGTTCGACAAGAATGATGGCACATTTTTCAAATGGTTGTGTTTGGCAGACTTTTCTACAACATCTACCCTAGGAACGGAGAAGACAAGAATGAACACATAATCCCAGGAGGTCTGGAAACAGCCTGAAACAATCACCATAAACTTGTAATTTCTTTAAGGTCTTGCTTTTTAATCTTAAAAATTCATGCAAATGTACCATTGTATTCCAAGGTGTCTGCCTTCATCCCGAAAATGAATATATGGGGTAATTTATCATTCAGGAGAATGTGTTCTAACTCATCTCTTTGGCTAAAGAGTGATATGCTATTATATTGCTGGATATTAGGTCGATCTGAAGAAAGTTGACCCCAAGACCAGGCAATTCTTCCTTCTCATTTTGTTATAAATACATGGACACAAACAGCAACCTTTTTTCCTACTGCTTAACAGACTTTCAGGGTAACAATAAGGAGAAATGCTCAAAATGTAAGGTGGAATGAATTCCTAAATACTCTGGATGGAAATTCCCATAAGCATATCTTCTGCTGAAAGGTCAGATCGCAAAGTGAGAGGATGGTTCCTGATTCACTCTTCAATCTCATCTACTACTTCTGGAAACATTCTCCAAAGAACATTTTTAGTGGAGGAAAAAAAAAAAGGCTTGGTTTCATTGCTCTTTATTTTACCTCTAATAGAGTACATAGGTTTTCCTCACCCATTAACAAACTGAGAGCCCTAAATGGTCCCTATAATCAACTCTCTTCATCCAACTCTCAAACGTCTTTTATAGTGATCTTGTTGGGAACAGTAAAAATAATCCCAGTTTTGTCTTGCGGTTGAGAATCAGGCCTCAAAAGAATATCTTCTAAATAAGCTCTTTAGGAATACTCACTATACCATTAAAGAGAAAAATGAATTTACTTACATTTTCTAGGCATTAATCATTGTTTTGGTATCTTTTCTTCATGGGAAAACAAACAAACAAACATGGAATTGTCTATTACCTGAGTCTGAGCAGAAACATCATGCGCCCAGCCAACTTTTCACCCTTTGTCTGCAGAAGGTTATCTGCTGTGAATTCATTTTAAAGCCATAGTGAGCAATTGAAATTGTGCTTCAATTGCATCATGAAAAGTACTTGTACTTTTTCAACACATGGGTTATGTCACCGTAAACATATTTTGCTGTCATACAGTTAGTTCACTCTGAGGTGACTATAGACTTAAAACAACTTATAGTCACTCAGTACACATGATTTTCTAGTCTTGGGATTTTTAGGGAAAGAATGCACATTAAATTTTTGTGAACAAGGAAAAGTGGGATTCTGCTAGTTTTTTTGCTCAGACATTCCCAAATTTTACAAGTCAAACTGATATTCCAGAAAGGATACGATGTGTGTCCTTGTTTCTGAAAATACTTGATGAAATTGACATCTTAGGTATTAAATAAGATGATGTATGCTTCCTGGTATAAAACAGGTATGTCATGAGATAGCTTTTCTCACTTGCTTTATTGGTACAACCATCCAATGGCTTTCCAAGTGATACCCCAACTCCTGTCACTCACGTTTTTGATCCAGTGTTTGTTTGCCAGCATTGTTGTCTTCCTAAAATAAAAGTTAGGTCATATTAGCACCTTCAAAATCTCCTTGTTGCTGATTCTAAGTTCAAATGTATTGAAGAAAACAATTGATATAAATCAGTGAGTTGCAGAGTGAAGAAAGCATGTCGACTCTGGGAGTCTTATCTTATGGGTGTTACCCTGAGGTTTCCTTATAAGGAAATGGAGAGAGGAAACCCGAGAACAGGTTTGGGAGTGGAAAGACATCGTGGTTCTGTTTCGGAGCTGTTGAGATTGAGTCTCTGTGAAGTAAGCCATTGAAAATACAAATCTGGATTACAAGAGAGTAATAAAAAAAATTTAGGAATCAGTGGTAGAATAACAGTGATTTAAGCTATTAGGACAGATGCAACAGGTAGTTTAACTAGGATGCTCCCAAATTAAAATAAAAATCCTCATTCTTGGTTCAGCACAATCTAGCACCTTTCCAGAGTCCAAAGGTCAGTCCTTCTGACTATGATCACTATTTCCTTCAGGGAGTCTTTGTTTTCATCTATCCTACATAAAATCCTGAGCACCTCTGGTTTGCACTGGTCCTCCTCCCCCCACCCCCCCATATTGGGATGATACCTACAAAGAGCAAAAGCACATTTCATTCTTTAGAACTCATCTTTCTCGGGTCCTATGCTTCATATTTCATTTTTTCTATAGCAAAGACAAATTTAAGTATTACAAAAGTAAGTAATTAAGCCTCCAAATGTTTAAACTATTAGATCATGAGAAAATGTAGTGGGAGACTCTATCATATTCTTCATTTAAGGCTCATATCCTCTCCTTGACAACGTGTGCATGTTGTTCATGACCAAACAGAACTTACTGGAATTTAATTATATGAACAGATTGTAAAGAGGCCAAAATAACAAGATGTTCTTTCTTTGAGAAGCATTGTAAAAAATTAGTTTTTGAACCCAAATTTCATATGTATTTAGGTCTGTATGTCTCACTGACAGAGTGGACTGTCCTGACTCAATACTTAATGCACTAGGAATTCTCTAGGTAGACTATGATTTGGATACATTACAAGCTATTATGTCAAGGATCCGTGTCAGATTGGATGCATACACAATGCCTAGAGAAAAATTATTGTTACAAGCAAAACTGATAAGGTTTTTTATGTACTTTAAGAGTAAGTAAGCCTAGGAAAAAATATATGACACAATTTCTAATTGCCTAGTATTTTTTTAGAAGTGAAACATGCCTTCGTTTTTATTTGCCCACAGAGTATATCTTTGACTAAAACTGTGATACATCATTTGTTTTAGGAAGTGGGTGGTATGCATTTCTTACTTTTGGAATATACATTCTAATATTTTCCAACTTAATTTCAGGCAGTTATTAATTATTATCTTAAGCAATAATGCACCTTCATGTTATAAAATTTTAAATATGCATTGTTCTTAAAAGACAAACATTTGTTGGCAATTCTGTATAGCTTACACATATGTTTATGTTTTTACTCTTTCTCTCTTTAAAGGGATCCTCATCCCCAAAATGCCTGTGGAGTACAATGTCTTACTCAATGCTGGAAGTGTGGCATCTCTGACCTCTTCTGCTGGTCATCATCAATCTATCCTTCTGGAAAATTTGGCTCCATTCACGCAGTATGAGATAAGGATACAAGCATGTCAAAATGGTGAAAGTCTTTCAGACACTTCTCCTGGACCTTTATAAGAAAATATCTTATAAAAAAAATTAATTGAAAAGGAATAGAGTCTCAATCCAAATATGAAGACTAACATTTCATTTCTTATTTGTACTGGACTGTTTACCCAGAAAAATCAGAGGCTGGCATTGAGTGAAGCATTATGCACTTCTGCACATGAAATCATGAAAATTTAAATATATTAAAATGGTAGTTTTTGCAAAGTCTTGTTTTATAAGGCCCTTTAAAAGAAAAACAGCTAGCTCACATAAAGGAATTATTGGTAATACGAAACAAAATGGGTATTACAAAAAGTTCATAGAAAATGTGTTCACTTTGGTTCTATGTAAGTTTCCATCAGGAGGGTGAGGGTGGAAAGGAAGATATTATTTAGAAGTTGGCTTACACCCAGATGAATCATACATATTCTGCAGTGTTTCCTGAATCCTATCTCATGTACATAAGCGGTCACCTTGAGTTCCATGGCGTAGGTTAGTGATCAATGGAATCGTCGTCTATCTGTGTAGTCTTAAGGAAAGGTCTCTCACACTCCCTTCATCCCTCCACATGTTATATAATATATAACATACAACTTCTATGAGAAGAAATACGTAACTCATGTCAGTATACAAAGCATGTTGCTTCACCTTCAATTAAAGAGATTTAACAACTTTACACTCAACATGTAGTTGAAAGTCCTGTGTTACGTGTCCTTAGGAGCTACTTTTTCTGAATGAGGGTGATTCCCATAGAGTTGGTGAGGACTAAGAGGGATAGAGGTCTGCAGTTTTGCTGCGCTCCATCTCCGACTCTGAGTTGGGTTTGCCTACTTCTCTCTGCAAACCACACCACAGCATTTTGCTTTGAAGGCTGTTGCTTTCCATGATCCAGTCTTCAGCTAATTAACATGGAAATAGCTTTAAATTAATGTTTTCTTGATTAAAATGCAAAATCCACTTCTAAAACTATGCTATGGAGATACAATATCCCTCTGATAATTGTTGAATTCCTATGTATTGAGAGACAATCACTATTTTTAAATATTAGCAAAAATAAGATATTCTAAATAGTATACAATATGTGCAGGTCACACACACACACTTATGAAATTCAAGCACATTATCCTTTTCTGGCTAGAATGAATGTGAAAATTAGAGAAACCACAGTTGAGACAAGCATAAGCATTATTGTCTCTGCCTATATAAATATGTGGTTAATTAATGGATTTTCCAAAAATGGTTTCCTATTTAAGTATTCAAATCCTGTAGAGATTTATAGTACTAATCTAAAATATGTGTACAAGTGTATAAACACATTAAATCATTCAGATTAAATGATTTTCATGATACCCTTACCCTTCTGTATGCACATGTAACTCTTTTACCTGCTTGACAAATTACAATTTTTTTTTCCAGGAAGTTGTGGAGTTAGCAATAGGATGTTTGTCAAAACATCTGAAGCAGCCCCATTGGATCTAAATTCCCCTGTTCTTCAGGCACTGGGGCCAGCTTGCATAGAGATTAAATGGATGCCACCTAAAAAAACAAATGGAATCATCATCAACTACTCTATTCACAGGTAACACTATTACTATTATTTTTTAATTATTTAAGAAGGTGTGCTATTTCAGGACTGTAGAATCAAATACATTTTCTATTTCCATAAGGGAATGGATGGGAACTCATGATTTTTGGTGCGCGTACTAGGGACCAAAATTGGTACTGGAAATTTTTACACATTGTCCAAAAAGCCATAATTACCATGTAACATTTTTATCTGAGCCCTGTTTAAAAGACAAGACCACACACCCTACATAAATCTTACCATGATAGAGCAGCCCCTACAGGCTCCCTAACCAAGAGAACATACTCTTTCCAGAAAAAGAAAATTCTAGTGTTTTCCATCATCTACTACATGGAGGTTGGAAAGGTTTTTTTCTCATCCTCAAAAGACATTGCTTTTCATATGCAAGAGTGGCTCAACTCTGCAGTTACCCCCTCTTTTGATAAGATTTCACTCAGCTGGCTAGATGGTGTTAACATGGCTTCTTTTCACCATGATGTGCAGAATTGATGGAGAGTATCTACCTAAAATGAAGAAAAGAGGGAAAGAGAGAGGGGAGGGGAAGAGAAGAGAAAATACGAAGAATGAGCAAGAGAGACAGACCGTGGCCTTCTGGGTTAAAGGGTCTTGCTCCACCTGATCCAGTCTTCATCTGATCAGCATGGACATAGCCTTAAATTAACATTCTCTTTAAATAAATAATGAATGATGATCAGGAGGATGTGGGAAAGGGTAGAAGAGAAAAAGAGAAGGAAAGAGAGAATGAAAGAGAGAGGGATCATGAGACCTGAGGGAAGAGGGTTGAACACAGGACAGAAGGAGAAAGTAACGTAAATGCAGTCAAGGGGCCAAAGAACCAGTCAGAGGAGAGCTAGTTATGTGTTTTAATCCATCTGGGCTGCCACAACAAAAATGTCATAGACTGGGGGACGTGTAAACCACAAACCCTTAATGCCCACAGTCCTGCTGGTTGGGGAGGCGTCAGGGCAAGGCGCTGGCAGACTCCGTGTCTGGGGAGAGCCCGTTTCTGGTTCGGAGGCAGTTGTCCTGTCTCTGTCCTCATGCGGACACAGCTCAGGAGCTCTGTGGGGTGCCTAATCACCTCCCAGAGCTCTACCCCCCAATATCATCACATTGGGGGCTAGGATTTAAAGACATGAATTTTGGAGGGGCACAAACATTCAGAACACAGGATTCTCTAAGACGGAAAAGACGCTGTGTTAGACAGATGACAGCAGCCGTAAGGATTTGCAGACTGAAAACCCCGTTCCCGGGCAGCGTATTTACATCAGGCACACGGAGCACAACACGCGTTTCTCAGCACCTCATCCGCACCTCAGCATCCTTTGCTGAGTCTCTCCGGCAGCTTCTTGCCTTCCCTTGTTCGGTTGTCCTCTCCTGAAGCATCGTGAAACAGTGCAGCCTCCTCTTGGAACTTCAGATACGGAAGCCCTTTGATTCAGATCAATCTTCTGTGAGGAGCTAAGGGTTTGTAGGAAAACTGTGAAAGGGGAAAATATTATTGCATTTTTGATTATGGAAATGACATTGCTGAAAACGAGCAAGCCGAATTTCTTCTCAGCAAACAAATTGAAGAATAATAATATTTCTGATTCAAATACACATGAACACGTAAAAATGGCTAATGTGAATTTACATTCTACACTAAGCACATTAGTGCAGGCTCTAAAATGCCCATCCTTTTGGAATAGTTTTCTTTCATCTACTTAATACTAATTGTATGAGAAAAGCACATCAAATTCCTATTCTGAATAAAGGGAAATAAAGTATCTATTATAGACCAGAACGTGGCTTCACGCTGCTGGTTTTGTAAATAAAGCTCGTGATTACAGTGACTATTCCATGGCAGCTATAGAGAGGGAAAAACAGGAAATATAATGCAGAAAGCCCGCTTCAATGAAAAATACTGTAAATTGAATTTGACAGCATTTGATGGCATTTGATTATTCTAGTCACAGCCAAACAATGATATAAAGAGTAATATGAAACAGAATGTGTTACTGCCTAGCAGACTCAAAAGCAATAAACCTTCCTCCAATGTGACACAATCACTTCGCAATCATAATTGTAGCCTGTTTGATACCTCTGAGTACAGCAGAAGGGCACTGACTGACATAGATACATTTTGTTTTTTATTTAAAGTGAAATGAAAATGGCGCGCTGGGGCTCCAGATACAATCGTTATATTCACCTCCACAAGCATGAATCACTTGGCAGTTATTTCAGCTGAAGTTTAAATGTGCTTAGACAACAACAATATCAAATTTTTCTTAGATAGCTGCAGAAAAAAAAATCAGAAATTTGTAAGGACAGAAATAGAATATAGACACATAGTTCTTTTTCATTCTGGGACTCCATAGAGCCCCTTATATAGTTGTAGCCACCAGCTTACAGTATTTCTGGAGAGGTTATTGCATGTAATCTCTGCTTCATCATTTACCTCCTCTTTCTTCTATCACCACCAAAGGAAATACATTTAGTTCAAACCAAAGACCCGTTTGGTCTATGCAGATAATTTTCATTAAATTGCAGGAAACCAACTTGCCAGCACCATTTTGGAAATGCTTATCACCTCTCTCTCCAGCTCCCCAAATCATTCCCCCTCAGTAATTCCCTTCTGTTGTTTAAATATTGCCTCTGGATATCATCCTATGAATGAGTCTGGCCTAATAAAGTGATACGATATTTATGACTTTAAAAAACAAAACACAAAATAACCTAGTAAGGACAAGTCTATTCATGTGATTGCTTATGTTTAGTTTGCCTGTAAATCTGATATTTTATTTAGGCTACTTTGTTGACTACATGTGAGGTACAAAAGGGAATGTTTCCCCACAACAGGGACATTTATGTTAGTGTTTTGCAACCTGTTTACTGATAAGATATAGACTAGGCTATCTTGGGCATTTGCTTTCTTCTCATAATAAGGTTGGTTTGTAAAATAAAAATTCTTCAACATCTCGCCCCCTTTATCTTATATTTGTAAACTTATAAGTGGTGCAATACATCCACAGAACCCAGAGAAAAATATAAATATTTACCAGAAAAATTACAGGAGAGCAGAATTCTCTCTTCCTGGAATATGCATGGAAGATGTTACTCATTCATGGATGAAGCTGATGTCACTGGGATTTGGTCTAACAAAATTAAAGTTAATGACTATTAGAAATACTATTGTTGGAAAAAGTTTTAACAGTACGGGATATTATAAAGGCTATTTATGCCTTCTTTATGACTTATCCATGGCATGTATTATCAACAGAAAAAACTATTAATTTTAATATATATAACATTGATGTTTTCCTTTTATAGCTTCCATTACATAAAAGGAATAATATGGTTCATACTGTTCTGCAATTTTCTTTGGACATTTGATACACACAAGCACATAGCTTACTTCTTTTAATAACTGAACCATATTTTATTATATGGCTGTGTAGCAAAATTATTTAACCAGACCCCTACTGATGACAAATAGGTGATTTCCAAGTTTTCATTGTAACAGCAATCCTCCAAAAATCTTCCTCACAATAAGCCTATGGAGGATTGGTCTCAGTACTAGAAGTGTGTTTTAAATTTTTAGAGATTGCTAAACTATCTTTTAAAGTCAGTACGTAAGAACTTCTAATTCTGAAGACTTTTATTAATACCAGATCTTATCAATCTTTCAAATCTTTGCCAGTTCAATATTTTAAATGGCATGCTATTGTTGTTTTAATCAAAATTTTGGTCACTATAAATGAGACTGTTCACTTATTTCAAATATTTATTTGCTATTTGTGTGTGTATATATTGTATATTATATATCCCTAGACTCTTTTCTTTTGGATTGTTTCTTGTTGATGATCTTTGTATATTAAGGAAATTCTTCCTTTAGTGATCATATTAAAAATAACACATCAGTTACTTCTTCCAACACCCTTATAGTTCTACTCCTTATATCTAAACACAGACTTGATTTTGTTTTAAGGAATGAGACAGGAAATCCAGGCCTTCATTTTTTTTAAAAAGATCTCATTTGTTGACATTGTTTTATAATTCACTCATTTGAAATGCTGCCTATGCAAAATCCCCAGGTGTCATCTGGTTCATTTCAGGACTTTAGTCTGTTTCATTTGTGGTAGATGGAACTTTAACAAGCAGAGCCTTGAGGCATAGACATCTCAGGTGAATGAAATTAAGAGGATAAGCAAAACTCCCCCAACACTACAGACATAGGGTTCCAGTAATGGTCGGGTTTGACTGGATCTTTTCTTATTCATAAGGGGAATTAAGATCAGCTTAATGTGATAGATTTTGGAAGACTTAAATACCAAACTCAGGCATTTAGGTTTTGCATTTGGAGGCATGTGAGTCCTTGCAAGTTTGGGGTAAAATAGGGAAGCAGTGTGATAGAGTGGACAGAGCGTGGCATTTGTACCCAGAAGATATAGCTTTCAGGTCCTGGGTCTGCCACTTCCTAGTTACGTGGCCTTAGGCAAGTCATTAAGTTTCCTAAGCTTCCATTTTTATATAAAGTTTAGGTTAATATACTTAAATAATAACTAACTCCCTAAAACTTTGTAAGAATGAAATGAAATAATGTTTGTGAAAGTAGTACATTAAAGGTAAAGCGTGAAGTTTTCCTAGACATACCTTTCATAGCCAAGTTTTAGCAAGACAAATTTGGCATTTACAGATGTACATTTAAAGACAAGGAAAGAAGTTCATGCTTAAAAGAAACAGATTGCACAACAGTATGCCTAGTATGATTATTTTTATTTAAATATATAGAGTATTTTTTAACACTTTATATGTGCATGAACAATGCATGGAATGTTGAACACCAAAAATGTTAACAGTGCTTATCTACTAGAGACAGGTTATGGATGATTCTTTGAATATAGATCTTCCTCAGCTTATGATGGGGTTATGTCCCAATACACTCATTCATAAACTGAAAATATCATAAGTCTAAAATGCATTTAAGACATCTATAACATCATAGCTTTACC